GAGAGAGAGAGAGAGGAGCTAATGGCTACGAAGTTACTAATATGAATGGTCCAAATTTGAGCCATAAAGAAAGCAAAAGAAAATGCCGTGTATGACACTGTATGTGGAAAACACCCTACACATACGCACATTTTTGGAAACAGGCGTTGATCGTGGCCCCAATTCTTTTCCTTTGTTTGAGCAGCACACAAAGTTTTTGGGGCAGCGGCGGGGCATGATACCACACCCTGCCCTTCCCCCTTTTTTTTCTTTGACCTCCTATTTTCGGGGTGCGCTGCACATTGTGCACGTGCACATGCACTTGTGCGCTGTGCCGCGCATGACATACACATGTAGGTGTTAAATTACTGAACAGGTCATGAGTTCAAATCCTGCATGGTACACAGGTACAGCTGTCAATAAACAGGTAGATGGCAATATGTGCAAATTGTGAACGGAACAAAAATGTAGTTGTTGGTAAATACTAAATACGTCATTTGTTTGAATCCTGAATGGTGCACACCTGTAGACGTCGATAAACTGTTCAGTAAATAAATTCCTTTACAGTGGAATGCAGCTTGTCCATGATTTTTGCTAGTAGCACTTGCAAATTGCGTTGTTGCCTGTGTGTTTTTTTATTCTTTTCTAAGTTATTGAATATGAGTGGGCCCTAGCTTTTTTTTGTATGAAGCAGTATTTGAACTCTTGATCTGTTCCTGAACAGTTACATACTTGTACCAATCGGCCAGCAGGCAGGAACAACACGTGCGAATCTTGTGATAATTATCAAACTGAGTTTTCTTTTCTTGGTTGACTACCGTCTTCCCCCGAATAGAACGTTATGGTCATAACGGCCGTATCTAGACTGAAAGTTGCACCAAATGCCAGCTAGAATGACCGTACGTTCTATTCGGGGGAAGACGGTAAGTCGTGAGATACTGAGATGAATTGCTGGTTGATATATTTTGTCAATTTTTGTGGCAATTACTGACCTTTAAGTTTTGTGGCTGCTTGTTGTCTGTAGACCAACTGGGTCGGCCAAAACAGGTCTTCGACGTACCACGAATTACGACAGGCAAGAGAAACCTCCCCTTTAACTGTGTCGCCTGAATACTTCACTTTATTCCTCCCCCTTTTTGTCTGGGTTCAGTTTTAGTATGGAGCTCCCAAGAAGGACCTGGCATTGCCCAGATTATTTGCAAACAAGGCAAATAAAACTCCATGGTCTGCACGCCTGAAGTTGGCAAAATTGTACTGCTTTTTTTTTTTCTCAAAACAAAAACTTCAAAAAGCTCAATATCCATTCTGGGAAGGAGCAGTGGATACTCGGACCAGGACTTTTCTGAATGCACCTGACCGGAATTACAGACTGACCTGGTCGTAGTTGACCGCAATTACGTCCAGAGCTCAGTGGAAAAGGTCCTACCGTCTTCACCCGAATAGAACGCCCGGTCGTTATAGCTGTATTTGGCACAACTTTCAGCCCAGATACGGCGATAATTACCGGGCGTTCTATTCGGGTGAAGACGGTAGTGTGTGAGTATGCCCTCAGTCTGGTTCCTGTTCCGCCAGCGTGTCTGGAAAAAACATGTATTGTGTACAGTCATGACACTTCCCCACGTTACAGCGCAGGAAACCTTAAAAAAAAAACCACAGTGATTGCTTCTTCCATAGGATCCACTCTCAGATAAGCCCATACAAACAATCTTTCTCCCCCCCCCCCAACACACACACAAAGTTCACAAACACACACTCACACAATCCTTGTAAGTTTTAACCCATACATAAAAACATTGTCAAAGTCTGTCTGGAAAGTCCCTTCTCTCAGCACACTCATTTAAACTGCCCAATTTGGCCCAAAAATGACAATTTGAATCAAAGAATTCAAAGAATGCTTCCTGGTTCTAGACAATATATCTTACTTTCAGGTACCCTCCTGCTAAATACTATGCTAATCCAGATGCAAGTTAACACTTGGCATACTGTTCATACTTCTCTGTTTTTTCAACTTTTTTTTTTTTTTTTTTTTCTCTCTTTACACCCAACATACTTGCCCCATCTGTTCTGGGGGGCGCCAGATCCTCCTTCCACGTCAACAATACGCTAGGGAGGATGGTGCAGCTCTTCCTCACCTTCGTGGGGATCAGTAGCAGATCACTCATGTCGACGCTAGGTAAGTCCAGGTAAGCTTCTTCTCAATCTCTCATCAGTCTCGCAGCCCTCATCCTCCTCCTCTTTGCCCAACCTCATCACCTACGACTACGAGTCTACGACTATGCCACCTATGGCGGCACCAACATGTCCTCCCTCTAGGCTGGCACCCTACAGCAGCATCTGGTGCCAGCATGCGCACCAGCAGCCTCGTATAGCAGCACTTGTCCACAAGCCAGCGCAAGGCAGAATGACCTCCCAGTGGTCCGACCGTGCTTAAGTAGCATTGACTAGCGTTGACCAGTCCCTCCCTTGATGGTGTCAACGGTCCAGATTGTCCAGATCTCGACTGCCTTGATGCAGCCTTGAAGCAGTAGTACCATATCCCAGCTGGAACCGGAATCTTCTGGATACCTGCAAACGACCCTTGATATGCATCTGATCTACAGCCGTGGTGGACTACTGGATTGTGTTTGACTTTGGGCCTGCATCTCCCATGCTGGGTCGGACTCTTTAATTTGCAAGAGTCAACTGCCTCACCTGCGGGTACAGAAATGCAGTATTTGACTTAGGGCTGTGTACCCCTTGACCCTAGGGACTGTTTCAGACATTTCAAGGACTCAGGACGTGACTTTTGACCCCTCTTTCAGACCTTTGGCCAAAAGTTATGACCCTACCTTAGACTCATGTGGACTTTGAACCGAGTTTGTTGCATTTTGGACAGTCGATGAAACAATGTAATACATCCTCCACCGCTTTACCCTCTTTTGGGGCAGTTTTTCCCACAGCAGCAACAGTTTCCCCCAAATCTGATGCTCTCGGACAGTTGAACCACCACTTGACAAGGAGGAGAGTCACAATGATAGTCAATAGTACATGTACGCCTCTCTCTCTCTCTCTCTCCCACTTCCACTTCCGGCTTCTCCCCTATGGCCACCTTAGCAATGTATGTTCCCTCTGATTTCCTCTGGCATAATCACGGTGCAGATCATTACGTGACGCCCATCCTCCCTCCACGTCAGCAATAAGGTATGGAGGATGGCGCTGCACTACCTCACCTTCGTGGAGACCAGCAGCAGATCACACGTGTCGTCGACAAGTAAGTCCAGGTACGCTTCCCTTCACCTCCCGTCAGTCTTACAGCCTTGATCCACCTCCTCCTCGCCAATCCTCATCACCTAGTCTACATTTATGTGGCTATGGCCACACCAACATAATCTCCCTCTAGGCTGGCGCCCTTCAGTAGTATCTGGCACCAGCATCCAACTCCAGCAGCCTCACGATACAGCACTAGCATCAAGCCAGCGCAAGGCAGAATTCCCAGTGTCTGACTGTCCTTATGTAGCATTGACCAGTGTTGATTGGCGTGGACCAATCTCCCCTTTGACGGTGTTGACGCTCCAGACTTGCCCGATCTCGGCGGCCTGGATGCAGCCTTGAAGCAGCGCTACCTTTTCCCAGTCGGGACTGGAATCTTCCGGATACCTGCAGACACAAGTGCGTTTGATAAATGGTCGAGGCTGACTACTGGGTTGCTTTGACTCTGGGCCTCCTTTTCCCGTGTTTGGCCTGACTCTTGATTTTCCAAGAGTCAACTACCTTACGTGGGGGTACGATGTCGAGCGCACGGTCCTCGCAGTGAGAGGGGACCTTCTCGGCCGCGTCACGCAGGATTCGGCAGGACTTTAGTCGTGGAGCGTTGCCGCTCCGGCCGAGTGCGCCAGCCATACCTCTCGCGAACCCCTACGACAGGATAGGGCCACGCGAGGTACAACTTACCTCCACCTGCGGGAGCTGTCACCATCCCTTAGGTGGGCGTATCCCCGCCGAGCTACCAGTCCACAGTACGAAGGCTTTTACATGCGATCGCAGAGGTGGGACAACCGAGGGCGTTTTCTCGTACGTTGTAGCATAGGGGGTACGCGCGGTCTCACGCCTCTATCAGACCCGTACGCAAGCCGACGCACTTGGGGGCTGAAGTCCCAAGCGCGACTCGTCGTCGGTCGACTAGGACGCATCCTTCTTACCACGCGTTACACCACGCTAGAACAAATGTCATATCAATCATACAAAACAAAAACACTCATAGTCCCTTTAATATCCAACCCATAACCTTCTCATACGGAAATCGGTTAAGTATCGCGCGCTTGTCTTCATATAAAACTGCATGGATGCAAGGCTTTCTCATATCGACTAGCCATGCAAGCAGTCGCAAGCAGTCGCAATGATGGTGTACTATGTAATACCCATAATCGCGTGGTCCTCGATGGTCTCGAGGGTCGCGTTCGACACTCAAGTGTCGGCTGACACGCGCTTGGAGGGGTTAATCTCTTGACGTTAGACAATCGCCAAGGTGGTTGAGAACCACACTCTCTTTTGCCCCCTGCAGAGAGTGGGTGGTACACAGGTTCCGGCCTGTGGTGGCAGTCAACCCTTATAGCCATGGAGACAAGCTCCATCATCCAGGGCCTGGAGAGAAGTCAAGGGGTTTGACTTTGACGACTGCCACGGACATCAACGTCCAACTATGAAAAATCAACAAACAAAATCACTCAATAAATAAACAGGGGGGATGTTCTTTTGAAGATTTCTGATCTTCCAGTCCAGTAATTTCTTGCTCGCCTCTCGAGGAGGTTGTGGGAATAGGTGATATCTGGCATGTCATCTTTGATCCTGCGTAGGGTGGTCGAAAATTCGGTGGCCCTTGAAGACCGATGCTGGAGCAACGATGGCTGGAGCCGGAGCCAGGTGGCTCAACTCTGTGACCTAGCTTAGTGGGGGCATGAGGCCTGGTTGAGAGATCTGTGGGGCTGTTTGCGGGGGAAGTCTCAGTGGTCATCGAGGGTCGTAACTGAAGCAATGCTGGCCGGTGCTGGAGCAAGGTGGTGCAACTTCGTAACCTAGCCTGATGGGAGCATGAGGCATGGAAGAGCTTCGGTTCGTGCTGAAAACGTCCATGCTGGTGGTGGTCGAAGGTGGATTGAATAGGTTTCACCTATCTGATTCGTGGTTGGGAGGCTTGTTGACACATAATTTCTGAGTGTTTCTGAGTTTTTTTTTCTTCAATTGTTCTTAGCCAACGCCGGGTAATGGCCCCAGTAGCTCATTCTTGTATTCTGATAAGGGACGCTGGGCCCGGTTCCCAGCCGTGTTGCTCCCCAGGAATATATTAATTCAAAACTCGAGATAAATAAAAAAAGAGAAAATAAACACATCAGGTATGCAGATCGCGCGACACATGGTTGCCATTCGCACTGCCTCCAAAGTAAGACTCGTATACCAAGCTCCAAGATACTAACCTGCGTAAACACATGCACATACGAAAGCCACATTGCCATGCACCAATGTGGTCAACTCTATTGTTCCCTGTAACTCACACCACGCTTCACACACTCTCTCCAACCATTGTAAACCCATCAGTTCTTTATAATGGCCATTAAAAGAAATATGGTTAAACTTTCAAAGAAACATATCAAATCTCAGGGCTAAGGCATCAAGCTGAGGTACAGGTGTAAGCAAAGTTGTGTCGTGAGCCGACGAGTCGGCGATCAACCAACCGATCTGTTATGATAATAGAAGACGATCTTCGTAGGACCGAGCTGAACTAGTCTGATCTTGAATCAAAAACGGCCAAGAAGGACCTATTACACAACACAGGCCAAATCCCAAATACTTGAACTCTAAGTGTACGGAGAATAAATCCCCATATCACATCTTACTCAAAATCTCATAAGACTAGATCTTAAATCTATCTCTCCAATTGGACCTCGAAGTAAGGGAAATTATGACAGCATCTCCCCTATACAGGGTGGATTACCAATAATTCTCCTACCAGAATATAATTTGACTCTTCAAAACTAGGAAACTTTCGGCAGCGCTTCCCGTGGTAAAAGTGCCTTTTCATAATTTATATGAGGCTAAATA